TAACAATGGGGTGTTCGTTCTAAGATACATCCAGGTGGTGGAGGGTAGACACTGCAATCAGATGATGGGAGGTGGACACAATTGGTAAGGAATTATAAGGAGGTCAGAAATGGATGGTCACCGTTTTCATAGCGCTCTCACAGCACCTACGGCGCTAGGATTCCATCCATAGGAAATGGAGTGGGGACATCGCGGTTGCTAAAATAGAGTGATATGTGATTCTCCTCATGTTCCGCTGCAAAATCTGCTACGCCGCAGAAAACAAAATGATCAGTAGAGCTCAATTATCAAGTCAGGCTCTCAGTAATTGAAAACTCACAGTATGAGGCTCGAAGTTTTTTGAGCGGGCGAGAAGATGGAGAAGCCCATCGCGGTCCCCTAGCCAGACCACGCACAATATGGGTATTATAAGGGCCTACATCTTCTTGCAGGAGGTGTCATGTATGTTAAAAAGTTGTGCACGGGCAGCCCGCCACGAGCATGTTAGGCCTATCCCCGAGACTGAGTGTCTGAGTTACGATTGCGCTAAATTAAGAGATAGTAATGAAGGATGACCATTTTGTGTGTTTTTGCTACATGACAAGACCAAGGTATTGAATAATGTTTATATGAATCTATACAAAACATCAAGACACGAGGGAGTGCTGCAATACACTTCAAACTACTACCGCAATGTGAAAAATTAGGACAAAAGTAAAAGGCACAACTGGCAATCGAAACTAACCAGATTAGGGGATGTGACGTGAATGTGCACCACTCTACCGGGTCATAATTGAGATAGAAGGAAGAGGAGAGAGCGGCCGATCAGGAGGACGACTGGACGACGACTAAGTCAACTGACTAGCTCGTGTTAAGACCAGGAAAGCAGAGTAGCTTCCCGCGCTTCGGGCTCCCATCGTTTGAACTGATGTTTACAGTAACATGGCTAATTCAGCACGGTTCCTTTCCATGTATACCATAGAGGCTTCTAAGGTCGTACACAAGCCACGACACGCAGAAACCTTAGCCAAGCTGTTATTAAATAAAAGTGGATTTCCTGCGTAGAGGATCCTTATTGGGCACGTGTAGGGGTTTATCTGCTTGTATGCTTCATCAAGAGCCTCTTTGAGGGCTAAAATTCGCTAAATAAAAGGATATCATGAGTTCCAGTCGTTACAGTTAAGTGATCATAACCTTTGAGGACCTGCCAGTGTTAGCTATTCAACCAGTTCCAGTCGCATATACCCTCCTTGGACTGTTCTGTGGACCATCTGTGGAGTGTGCTCTCTTTGCCTGCATATTTGTCGCCAACCATTCCTAGAACTACCCTTGCGAAAAAGTGAAGGCAGCTTTCTCTAGCGAAGCTCATAAGTTATGCTGATTACTGCACAAGAACGTTATCACAATAGCGTATCAAAAAAGAGGAAGAAATGAGTGTGGTTCATTTACTAACCATGGCTCGCACGTCCGGAGGGCTTTTTCGATACAATCTCCAAGATCGTTCCGAGGGCTGGAGTGGTGGCAGGAGTCGATGCTCAATATGTGGCAAGGGTAGGCAGATGTCTTTCAGTAAGGAAGAAGCCAGAAGGAGATTGACAATGGGTAAGTGGAGATGTATCAAACTGCAGGATTTCTTTGAATGCGTTCTAATACTGGTTTGACTAGGGGCTGACGAGGAACGAGAAATGGGATGGGCAACGGAAGAACGAGAACCACTGCCGCGGTGAGTGATGTAGTAGCAAACCGACGTTAATACTCTTTCAAAAAGATGGTTACAGCAGATCTGACTTCCGCGATCGGGCTGAAACACGACGTCGAAGATCGCTTTCCCAGGAGGCTCCTAGAATAGGCCGTCAAGCTTCGGACACCTCTCTTGACTCCCCCGACCCGAAACACAACGAAGATACCAGCTTGTGCGAAGCTGAGATTTGTGAAGGGTATGTGATCCTCCACTAGGACTCTCTTCTGAGGTTTGAAGCACCACTGAGTCATATTTTAGGGAATTAGAGGATGTACTGGCATCATCTCTGCAAACGAGGCGTGTGAGATAGACTGGAGCTAGGGCTGTCCTTTTCACCATTCATGCCTTACTTAGCGCACAACAAAAAGTGGAAAAGGCTGTCCTGGATGGGTTCCAATCCACACCGCTTCACCTGCCCTCTCGTTTGCAGGATTAATCCCATGATCTGAGCTGATAATTCTGTTTTGCTGTGAATTGCCAGCGTAAAAGTGTGTTCTTCAGAGGACTGAGGAAAACAAGTGTTATCGTCTACCGCGACTCCCGTGGAAGATTTGCCCGAGGGCCCCGCCACGATTAACAAGCAATGAGGGTCACGATGCAGCTGTAAAACTCAACTCGCAGTCATTCATCTGATTAGCCAAGTTCTCCAAATTTATATAAGAGTTGTGCTGAGATATCACTGATTGTAACATTAGCAGCTTGTATTAAAAGAGTTTGTCCTCATGTTGCTAAGAGGTCGAAGAATGGCAACAGCAGATTCCTGATTCTGTGCAATGAACTCGAATAAAATTTGTTAAAAAGCCTGTACTTGCTAACAGTTCACTGGGAAATATCTGAGGGCATCTTCAGCTTGAGTATGTGAAATATCTGTGGGGCATCTTCAGCACCTCCTTGAGTATGTGACAAGACAATCGCATTAAGCGCGCTGATGGACGTGGCGAGCGGAGTCGCTTCGGCGAGACGAGTTGTTCTGTCTTGCGTTTTGACTGAATAGTGAAGGGACGCGAAGATAAATTACACTGGCGTGGGCCATTACGCTGTCGTACTATTGGATCTATATTACTTCCGATATTTCAATCGACGAAATCGACACGCCATCAAGGGTCGTTGCGCGCAACGCGCATCCGCCGGCAGCATGTGTCGCCCGCGGACCGGCACAGCACATCCACAAATTGTCTTGCTCGTTCTCCTCCTTCTCGACTCGCTTGAATCGTCGGGTGCTACGCCCGACTTGGCTCTGCACTGTTGTCAAATCCGCTGGAGCGCACAATGCCATGAAATCTTGTGTGGTTTCTGTCAAAGCATGTAGCCAAGCATAATTGGCTGATTCGCTGCGCTGGTAAGGGATTTCGCTTGCCGCATGCGGGAACTGCATCTTTCGCTGCCGTATACCCCGTATTCTTATACAAGCTCTTTCTCTCACTACTGGACTAATCGCAAGGTGTTGAAGCGATCATAAGCTCAAACTGCGGTCCTGTCACACTGACATCTACATTAACTACTGCTCGCGCCTTCGTTGGCCGCCACGATGCCAGGCGCCTACGGCCCAGCGAATTGCGAGTGCTCTGACCGTCTCTTTCCTTTGTGACAATAGCGTTTGAAAGTCACCACTTCCAAGCATCGACGAACCGCGAATCACAAATTAAACACCGCTCAAGTGGGCACACAAGATTCCTACTATTTATACTAATCCGCCCTATGTTGTCTGTCGTGATGTGTGTGTGTGTGTGTGTGTGTGTGTGTGTGGTGGGTGTGTGTGGTGTGTCGTGTGATGCCAGGACGTCGCGGCTGTCAACCGGTGTGTCTGTGTCTGTGTGTTGTGTCACGAAAATCATAGCGCAGGCGTCACACAGAAATGACTAGGCATGACCTGTCTCAAAGACATGTGATATACGCTGGCAGGACGGGAACACTTCTTGGTGGGTGTCAGGATTGCTGATTAAACACGTTGACTAAGATTACGATAAGGGGCCGTTTAGAACCTGGGACGGGTGACCTGAATTCGCTTGGCGCAAGTTGCAGCAGCTGGCGGGGACCGTGATTTTCAACGGTGATTATACATGGCGGGACGGGACATTTTGGCTGGGTTGCAAGAGGTGAAACACTATAAGATTGGATAAGGGGGGCCCTTAGAAGGGGGGGGGGGGTGACAACATCTAGCGCAAGTTGCAGCAGCTGCGGGACCGTGATTTCAAGAAGTGATATACATGGCAGGACGGGAACACTTTTGGTGCGTGACAGGAGGTGATAACACTTGATAAGATTCGATAAGGGGCCTCGGAAGGAGGAGGGTCATCAAATTCGTGGCGCAGGTTACAGCAACAGTGGGACCTCTGATCCGAGAGGCGATACAGGGTGATATGATAGTGATACGGGACGGGAGTGTTATTGGCGGGTACGGAAGTGATAGGAGCTAAAATTGACAAGGTAGCATGGGAAAATCCGCTTCACCGCTCACAACAACAATGCGATCGATATGACTCAAGTATAACGATCTCAGTGATTCCAACAGAACTCATTCCTCACTGCTTATTAGTAACGACATCGTGTACGACCGCTAAGCCAGCTCTATTCCAAATGCATGTGGTTTGTTTACAGAGATGTTATGAACAGCAGCAACTGACTTTATCACTCTTACCACAATTATCTTCCATCAGCAACTTCAGTGAGGGCCATTTAAAGGGTTCCACTGCTGAATGCGGTAGTGCATTCCAAAGCAAGACGCTTTAGGAAGACAGATTGCATAAATTATAGGCTGCTTCAGTGGCTGTCCAAACAGGCTGCACTATTTCCGTGTAGGTTATGAACGTACCAGTCGGATCGCTGGCTAAGCCGCTTTCCTCCTTCTGTGTGCGGGCGGGGGGGGGGCGCTGCTGCTGCTTCTGCGCCTTGACGGAACAAGCGCTGCTTTTCAGTTCTTGGCTGATGCAGAAGATTCCTTTGAACAGTGTGGTTGGTCAACGATCCTTAACTTAGCACGCGGCAAATCCGCATGGCCCGGCGAAGCCGGGCCATCACAGAAGGAGGAGCGCCCGGCGACAGCCGGGCGATCCGACTGGCAATTGAATAAGGGGGCACTCTGCAATGAAGGAGCCAGGGGTGTACATCGCGTTTCACCAGCGGAGAAGAACCTCAGTTCAATATTTATTCGACGAAAGTCAACTAGCTGTTGCATATCAAGACCATAACTATTGGAATAGCTATTTTCACCACCCGCGTTTGCAGCACGCAGAACTTCACTTCAACATTTATTTGACGAAAGTCAACAGGCTGTTGCTTATCAGCGTCTCGTTCCGTCCTCGAAGAAGATACCTCCGTCGATGGCGCAGTATTTTGGACAAATACCTTTCTCGCCGTCGTTGCCCGAAGTACCTGGTGGGCCCTGGGGACCTGGTCTACCATCTGGTCCAGGCGGACCATCGGGGCCATTCGGTCCTTTTGGTCCTGGTTGACCTATAAAACGCCTTACATTCTCGCATAAGAAGAGCGACCGAAGATTAAGGCACATGACTGGGTTTCCTGGTGGTCCAACTGGACCTTGATCTCCTGGAGCACCAGGCTCTCCTTGGATAGAGTTACCAGGTATAGCTGGCGTTCCCGCTTCTCCTGGCGGTCCTGGTTGTCCAGGCTCTCCAGCAGGTCCAGGTGGACCTTTGGGCCCTGGTTCTCCCGGAGCTCTAAATATATCAGCTTTATAGTGTATGCATATCATTTACATACTTGACATTTCTTACCCATCATTTCCATTTCTTCCTGGTTGTCCAACTGGTCCCGCATCTCCGATTTCTCCAGGTTCTCCAGGAGTGCCAGGTGGTCCACTAGGGCACGGTTTGCACGGTGGAGGTGTGATTGGCTCACAGAGCGGTTCTGATGGTCTTCCAGGCATGCCTGGCATTCCTGGTGCGCCAGGCATACCGTTCCTTCCTGGTCTGCCTGGCGCTCCTGGCGTACCAGGAGGGCCTGGATTGCAGCACGGTTTACACAGCGCCGCATTCGCACCCTCCTCTGCTATGTAAGTGTTCTGTCGAGCGATACGAGTGTGATTGGCGGGGGCATTTTTCAGTGTGCTGATTTCGTGCCAGATTTCTTTAGCATGATTCTGAAAAAAATTATTTTCATCAAGTCATTTTGAATCAAAACACTAGCTTCTACCCTGCAGAATCCAATTTCCGAATGCATTTGGTCTCGAACATGCATTACATAACTGTATATCATTGGCACGGTTATGGCAACCTAAAAGGATAGGGGCAAATGGAGGGACGAAAATCAAACAAGGAAATAAAGATGGTGAACGAACCGAAAGCACGGCAAGGGCGGAGAAGGTGATAGCCGAGTAGGCTACAGCCTTGTAGGCGAAGGTGCGACTTTCGAATTCCATCTCCAGTGGAATCGGTCTGTTGGAATGAACAGCCTCCTTTTATAGTAGCACTCGAAGCAACTAGTTTTTGAGATCGTCGTGAGATCTGTGCAAAGATGGAGATCGCAACTCCATGCGTGATTGTTATTGGTCGAAGTTGCCTGTCCACAAGTAAGAGATCCGGCATCTTCTAAATGCGGAACTCCACAGGTGACATAATCTGATCGTTATTATTCTTAGGCTGATTTGTTCAACGGATTTTAATTGAAATGCTGTCTCCGAATGAGGGCTTCAGCAGCAATGTTTACAGTAACTTTTTAACTATTAATTTTGAAGACAAACACTTCGCTCACCGCCAGGTCGGTCCTTGCCATGTGCGAGATAGGTCCGCAGCTGCAGCAGCGTACCACCTCCACCGATGCTCAGGAAGTACTGGTGCCTGATATCTTTTTCGACCCTACGACCGTGCTTTGCTCAAGACTCAGCACTTGCGTGAATACCAAAATCTCGCGGTGAACGCGCAGTCAGAGGTGAGAGGGCGCAGGCAAGTAGGGAGTTCGGCTTCTATTAGACAGCGTTCAGACTTTGCTGTGACGCCATGGACTGTGAAGCCCGATGATCGCAACAGCGCTACAATGCTAGAGACGCGAACGCCACTGCAGACGGAATCGATCGGCGCCGGCCTCTTGTGTGATGAGAGTTTATGGGGGAACAGGTGATTACGCGTTGCCGAATTATACAGTCTGGTATTCGGCACTGGTCGCTTGTGCTTTCGAATTATAAATGAACGAGACAGCAACAGATTGTGTGATGACGGAGCTCCCCTCCTGTTATACTGTACTCTATTGAAAACAAGCGGCTGGCCCGGTCAATTCGCGTTGATAGAATTGTGAAACGCTGCTGGCAATATCTAGTAGCGCGTCTACGCGCGTCGCAGCGCGCTACAGCCAGGGCACGCCATCGTTGTGATACAACGAGGGGATCGTATTCGATCTCGAGCTGGAACGAGGGAGGGGGGTCGTAAGCGCGGGGACCCTTCTGGAGTGAGGGTGCAGCGATACCCAGATGTCGTTCAGCTTCAATGATTAAGAGAGCTTATCCTTGTGAAGAGCCTCTGAAGAGACCCACACAAGACAGAAGCAACCTGCCAGCGCAGAAGTGGGGAACGGGCGATGACAGGAAATACGATGGCCCCACAACGACGTCATGAATTAATAAAAAAAGTAAAGGATAAAGTCTCCGCCGTTGATCAACCCCTTTGTGGGATGCGGCACGCATTCTGCTTCCATTCAGAATCGCAATGGCTTATTGAATGCGATGTGGCCTATATTGCGGTGGTGCGGCGCGGCGCGCTAATACAGCGCGACCGCGAACAATTAATATTCAAAAGCTAACCCATAATTCTTCCTAGTACTTCTGGTGAAATTTTTGTCGTTTGTTTGGTATTTTACCAAACTATTCCTACCCCAGTCTGCCGAAATCAGGCCGATTTTTTATCGATTTTTTCTAGAGGGCAGATTTGGATGGAAATACTGTTACAGTGGTACTTCGACCTCCTGAACACGAATATCACACCCGCTTCACCCAAAACTTTTCATCGATTTCGGTGATTCAGGGTATTTTGGCGCCGCGCCACAGGCGCCGGGGCCAAAATACCCTAAATCACCGAAATCGATGAAAACTTGTATACGGGGTTATTTGACATCCTGTTTACGAATATGATATTTATTCTTGGACGCCAGCTCTAACGTAGGACACTATGGTCATCTGCGCTTTGCTAAGACTGAGCCTGACCTGAGGGAAATCTTCCCTTTTTCTCAGTTTCAGCCTCAGCAGAGTGCCAAATAGCGCTGGAAAATGATGTTAGACTCGATCATGACATCGAATAACATCGATAGACAAAGTTTCAGCACAAGTTTTTTTGGCGTAGGAATAGTTCAATAGCGCCCAGTTCTCTTTATTGTCATTTTCTTCGTCCCTTTTGCGCTTCTTTTCATTTGTACCCTCGTGACAGGGGGGTCGTATTAAGACCCTAATTTCTGGGGGGGGGTCGTAATTAGCGGGAAATGATCACAACGCGATGGCATACCCTGGCTACAGCGCTATTGCGAAATTGAGCTCCGCTCTAGGCGTACGGTTGGCTAAGCTACGGTGCGGGCGGAGCATGCAGACGCATCTGAACATCACTAGCCTCCATTCCCGTCCATATGCACTTTGTGCGGAGGGTATGGGTCGCTGCTACAGCCGGAGACCATTAAGCATAGACTCAGGGGTGAGTGTCATGACCCTTGGTCATGATGACTAGGATGCACGGGTCGCAAATGCACATTTTCTAGAAAGTTCGCTCACCGCCGGTAACCAACCAATAGGAGGTCTTGGTACCGCCCACCTCAGCCAGTATTTATAACAATAACGATTTTTCAGTAGGGCGCAAATGGCTCACAGAAGCAATACGTAGTGCGGCTGCGGACTTACACCATTTTCGACGCGCTTTACCTCAAGAAGGCAGTCTTGTATGACTCTCCTTTGGTCATCTTTAGTGTATAAGTTCCTTTTGATGATTTTTAATGCAAAAATACTCTGAAAAGGTGAAGTTGGTCCATTTAATCGTCAGGTTTCAGTTTGTGATCCGGTGTTTTACTAGCTAACGTAGAATCCTCAAACTATCCTTGTTCATGGACGCCTAACGTGTATTAGTCTTTTGTTATGAGGGCTCCTTGTCTTGGTTCTTCTCACATGATAGGAGCCGGTATGAAATAAATTTGGCTCGTCTTCCGTTAACACAATGACGTTCGGTAAATGAATAATATGAGGAATGAAACCTGACAAGTAAATGAACCAACTTCACCTTTCCAAAGTATTTTAGCATTCAAAATCATCAAATGAAACTCAAACACTAAGAATGACCTGGCGAAAACCATTCAATTAAAAGCAAAGAAAAACAAATATTTGGTTGGAGAAAACGCTCCAAAACACATGATCCATTTCGCTTGTTTATCAGACGAACTACCTAACTGTTGTTTCGACAACCCGAAGCTCTTGGGTTGACGACAAAAGGACAATGACTTATACGGGAAGGAGTTGACGAAAAAGATGAAATAAGAGAAGTAGTAACTAAGACGCTCATGCAAAACTTATGCAATATAAGGAATGGGTTGAAAGGAACAGGACAACGGACTGAATGAAGGATAATAAGCAGAGCGTGTTACAAACACGAGCGTGCATTATGAAAGATTATACTTGGAAGGCTACAGCCATCTGAAGGACTATTATATGTATACAGGAATGAAGTTATCAAACGAGAGTTAATCTCAACTAGCATTACCAGTGAGAATACATTAAGCCAGTTTACTTACTTTCAGCACTTGTGAAATATAGATTTGTTTTTGTAAGAACATTTAACTGCGTTAATTATAATAAAGTCTCCTTTGTAAACTTTTCCCAAAGGTGTTGTGACAATATCCGTTATTTTGCTTTCGAATATCAATGATCGAACAGATATAGAAATTTATTAATAAGGGAAATGTTTGTACTACTATGCAAAAATCTGACTACCTCAAAGCTAGAGTCATCTGTTTTTGTACAATTTAGTATTTATTAATCCTTCCGTTCACCATGTTGACTATCAGATCTGTATAATTATTGAAAACTCCAGTTATACGGGTCTTTTCCTGGTTGAAGGCTAACTTCATGTACTTCAATAAGCCGTTCCTTCACGTCGCTTCCTACTTGATTATGAACGGAAACTGGCGCTTTGAGGTAAAGCGCGTCGAATACGGTGTAAGTCCGCAGCCGCATTGCTTCTGTGAGCCATTTGCGCCCTACTGAATAATCGCTATTGTGTATTTATACCCAGTGCCTATAAAGGTGGTGTGCTGAGTGCCGACGGCAGTTCTGCCAGTTGTTCTCTCGGCAGTCGGTCCCTTTACTGTTTTCACAGTTTCTCCTCGCGTTTCACTGCTGTCGGAGCTTCACGGTCCTACAGCAGTTCCCGAACACCACGAGCACACAGAAATGAGAACGAACACGATGTGCCAACACAAGAGACGAGACACAAGACACTGCGGACCCGCTATCGCCTGAAGAAGAACACAAGACACAACTTGACTCGCATTTGACACGAATATGCCAGTAGTTTAGCCTCGTATGTTTATGCTTGTAGTTTAATGATTGTAGTCATGCTGTATGTGCTATGTGTTACCAATAAACATGTAACCTACCACTTGAACTACCAAAACCTCATTTGAACCGTGATGCAGTTCAAAACAGTGAGTGTGCAATTTGTCACTGAGCTTTAGCCCTTAATGTCGCCATTGCCTTCACTGAGCAGCTGTCTGAATACCACTTGTGCAGCTATCGGTTGAAATACGAATGAACTAGTTGTATGTAGAGTAAATGCTGGCACATGATGAACACGTCGCAAAAATGTATGAGATTGAAATGACCTCGATAAAAGTTTTAATGACCAGTTTCAGCTCTCTCATAATAAGTGTTGTGCGTATTGCGGATCTTTGAACAATCGCCTGACTTCGCTTGATCTAATCCGCGCCTATCGTTGATCTAAGTTTCCGTTTCTTTCAGGACGTCCTAAAAACTAGTTACTATATTGCGCTACTATAAATAGGGCTGGTAATTGCGACAGACCGATTTCACTGGAGATGGAATTCGAAAGTCGCACCTTCGCCTATAAGGCTGTAGCCTACTCGGCTATCACCTTCTCCGCCCTTGCCGTGCTTTCGGTTCGTTCACTATTCTTATTTCCTTGATTGATTTCCTCTGTCCAACTGCCCCTATCAATCTAGGTTGCCATAACCGTGCCGATGATATACAGCTATGTG